GCTGACTAAAAATCTGGCTATATATACATGCATATTTGATCCTGATATGATATATATAAATTTAATTTATAAAAATTAAATCAATAATATCTAAGCGTGTTTGTTGCCTTTTTTGAAATTTTTAGTTTAGCATAAGTTCAGAATTTCTTGGACTGATGAAAAAGGTCTCCTCGGCTCCCCGTGTAATGGAAATCATCAACATACAGGGCATTCAGCGTCTGCTAGAGCGTCTCGCTGATTTGCTGGCAAAAATTCAAAAGGCACTTGGCGAATACCTAGAACGTGAGCGCTCATCTTTCCCAAGGTCTATAACAGAGGTTGGTACTAAGGTGTTTGCAACTTGAAATCAATATTTAGATTTTATTTTGTTGGCGACGAAGATCTACTGGAGATCATTGGAAATAGCAAGAATATTCCAAGGTTACAGAAGCATTTCAAGAAGATGTTTGCCGGAGTGTCACTGATTCTGTTAAACGAAGACAATACGGTGATCTACGGCGTTGCTTCACGTGAAGGAGAAGAGGTTTGAATCTTTTATGTTATCGTCACGTTTTGTCAATTAGCAGAACTGCAAGATGCTTATGATTCGTGGCACCTACCTGGCTGAATTTTATGTATTGAAAAGTTTCTGCTACTTCGATATATGTCAGCAAATCTTCATAAAGTTTTTTTCTGCTGTGCCACCGACTTTTCATGTCCACTGTTGGTTTTCGTTTACTAGCAACTGGCAAGCCAGTGAAGCTTTATTGGATATTTCATACCATTCTTTTGTTCTTTGGCGCCCACAACGTATATGTTTGGTTAGCTAGCATAGGAGATTGATCGTATGGTCGTCTCCAACGAGAGCATACCTCTTAAATCCCAACAGTCAGCGTAACCAGCCTCACTGGGAGCTGTTAAGTCTACGTTGATGTGCTGATGCCAGGATACCTGCACTCAAAAACAAACTGACTCTGCATTGAGATGAAGACGAATATCGATTACGACTAATATTGCCTTTCGCTTCTGGTTTTTCTAAAGGCATGGTTTAAAAAGCTATCGTAATCCTTCTGTTCAAGTTTTGCTTATCACTGCCGTTTTATCCGTCGAGAGGGTGGTTCCGATATGTTGAAACCATGAAACGTTTTCGTTGATACTGCTATTGTAGTATACCTTCATTTTCATTGTTCCATCTAAATTCCTCCTTAACTCTGAAGAATTAACTGGAGGCCTGCTTCTTTTTCAATTAACGATCAAGGGCTTTTATGCTGCACGCAGGAAGATTGTTCAGCGGCATAATCAAAACCGGTAGAATACACTTTCAGACATAGTCGTTTTATCCTATTCTTCAGCGCTGTTTTATTATTATTATTATTATTGTTTTAATGCTGTATTAGTGCATGTTTTTGCGTATGGCTGGTAATACTGTCTCATAAATTAATTTTCAGGTGAAATTCGTGAATCCAATTCAAATCAAGGACCATCCGAGGGTCAACGAATGGCTGAGCATGGTTGAAAAAGAGGTTCGGTCGACGCTTTCGTTTATGCTCATCGAATGTGTGAAGG